TTATTTCGCATTTTATCTATTCAAAAATAATATTAATGGATTATTGAGATTTTTGCGATTTCAACGACACCAACACGACATAAATCGGATAATTTTTAATTAAACAGATAATCATACAAGTTCCTATCGCATACAGCTATTCTACAGACGGCTTTTCACAGCCTTTTGAGGCAAAGAAAAATGCATTTTTGTAATATACGTGTTATAAGTAAATAAATCGTGTTATTTACATTTATTTTGTGTAAGAATTACATTTTATGGTAAAAAAAAATTTATTTAAAATAAAAATATTAAAAAAAAAAGTTACTCCTTGAGAATCGAACTTCTAACCTCGACGGTACGTGGTCTAACCCCTTAACGCTACGCCACACGCTCTTCGATATAACGCTCTATTCCATACGTATTTATATGGCACTCAGTATTTTTAATTTCGATTTTCTCGCGTACGCTTGAGAAATGCATTTTATCTCTTTATTCCACAATAATTAAAAGGATTTCATTAAATTGACAAATATAGTCGTACAAAAAAAAAAAAAAAAAAAAAGAAAGGCCCTGCAAGATCTCGAACTCATCTCCTTTAACAGCTACGTGTTACCGGCGCTCATCTGTGCACATAGCACGGAATCGAACCACGTACCGTGGTTAAATGGCTACGTAATTCAATGTGCACGTTTTTGTGCACATAGAGGCGCTTTGAATTCCGGTTGCAGCTAAATCGAGGGGATGACCACTCTCATCCTTCTCTCTGTTAGAAAGTAAGGTTATGTTTTCAAGTCAGTCGTACATGACTTTAAGATAAGCTTATTATTAATGATTATGGAATTAATGGAAGAATTGATGATATTGAAAATATTAATTGATCGTGATTTCAAGTAGAGAACGTGTACGAAAACGATACATTCGTGATGGACTTTAAAACCCTTTTATAATAATTTACAATTTAAAAGACGCTATAGATTAATAAGGATTCCTCCTATATGGAATATTACCAAAAATTGAAGAATGATTAGCAAAATTAACGTGGTCTGCGGTTCCATCAATACATACAAATTGTTAATATGCTTAAGATACTACGCAACACACACGCACACACACACACCACACAGAGAGAGAGAGATAGAGGTGGGTCTAAAAATAAATATAATATATTAATAAAATTTATCTTTATTATTATTTTTAATATTGCATTTACTGGATTATTTTCTTTTTCAGCATCATCAGTCTCATCCCAGATAACACAATATTGCATGAATATTCTATGTAGCATCAAAAATATTTTTTTGAGAATATTCTCAAAGAAATCATCTATACATCTCTATAGAATATCCTTGTTTATAAAGAATAATCTATAAATCTACCTAGAACATGTTAAAATCATCAGCTATAAGAATATATTGTTTTATATTCCATAAATGTTCACAGAATATTCAAATGTATTTAAGATGTAGATGGCGTTCAGAAATCATTTATTATCTTTTTTCCGCTTTTATTAATAAGTACATACAGTCCGTTGAGTCCGTTCATAGTATATAGTGTACGATAAATAAAAAGTGTGTAATTTGTACAGAAAAAGAAGCTCTTATTGAGAAGGTAAGTATATTAATTGTTATCAAAAACAATAAATATTATTATCATTTCCTCACGTTTGTATTATTTGTTACAGTGATAGATTTTCTAACCCTTGATTTCTTACAAGCTCTTTTAAACAATTAATTTATCATTAAGAATCCCACATTAATTTTTCCAAGAACAAATATAATGAAACGTCGTAGTAAAGCGACTTTTTATAGAAATGTTAAAAGAGAAAGCGCAACATGTTTTACATTATCACAGGAGAATTGTAATAATTCTAAATCTGATTGTATAAATGATAATGTTTTAATTACAAAAAATACAGATTTCCAATGTAATAGTACTTATAAAACAGAGGACTGTTTTAATACAGATTGCTTTAATGTTTTACATGACTTATATAGCCTATCTTCTGATAACTCTGATAATGTTATTAAAAATGATACTCCAATATCACAACAAAATATAGAAAATCAAAATTTACATAATCAAAGTAATAATTTTATTAATAAATTACGATCACATGGGCAATATCATATAATATTTCACATAACGCCTTACGAAGTTTATTAAATTTATTAAAATTAGAAACAAATATTTCTTTGCCTCAAGATCCCAGAACTTTACTTTGTACTCCTCGACATGTACCCTACAAATCTGTAGGTTCAGGCACTTATGTACACATGGGAATTCAATTTGCAGTTCAAAATTTAATTAATTTGTTAGAAAACAGCCAGAAAAATTAATTTGTTTATTAATATTGATGGTTTGCCTTTAAGCAAAAGTTCCAGTAGTCAGATATATCCAATTTATGCTCAATATCTGAATATCCACAATATGTATCTGTGATAGGTATCTATCATGGTTATGAAAAACCTAATGATGTAAATTTGTTTTTACAAGATTTTACAGATGAAGTTATAAAGTTATCGGAAGATGGTTTTATTTATAATAATCATGCTATACCATTTGCAATTAAAGCATTTATATGTGATGCTCCAGCAAAATCACTCATTACTTCTTGCAAAGGTCACACTGGATTTTTTGCATGTACTAAATGTATGCAAAGAGGAAAATATATAAAAGCCAGAGTGTGTTATCTTGAAATAAATTATTTTGAAAGAACGGATGAAAATTTTTGTAATAGAGTTCAACCTGAACATCATACAGGAACATCAATTTTAGAAACAATACCTTCGATTAACATGGTAAAAAGTTTCCTCTTGACATGCATTTAATATGCCTTGGCGTAGTAAAAAAACTAATAAATATATGGCTCTTTGGACCTATTTCACATAGATTATCAAAAACCAACATACAATCTATTTCAAGTTATCTCATTGAAATAAAATCTTGTATTCCTCCTGATTTTGTAAGAAAAACCCGGTCTTTAAATGAAGTTGCACGCTGGAAAGCAACTGAATTTAGATTTTTTTTATTGTATTGTGGTCCAGTTGTTTTAAAAAATATCCTTTCATCTGACACAAAATACTTACATTTTATATTTTTACATATTGCTGTTAGAATTTTAATTAATGCTAATTTATATACAAAGTATTAAGAATATGCATGTTCATTATTAATATATTGTGTGAAACAATTTAAAGTCATTTATGGAGCAAAATACACTTCACACAATGTACATGGATTAATTCATGTTGTTGATGATTGCAAAGTTTTTGGACCTTTAGATCTTTACAGTGCATTTCCTTTTGAAAATTACATGCAATATCTAAAACGATTAGTTAGAAAATCTCATTATCCATTAGCACAACTTGTAAAGCGTATTCATGAGTCACAAAATATATTGATAACTAAACTGTCAAAAAAAAATAAAATTGCAAATGGTACTAGAACATCATGAAGGTCCTTTACCTATGACACATTTTTCTGCTCAATTTAAAAAATTGATTATAAATAATGTGTCGTTTAATACACGTTTTGGAGATAATTGCTGTTATTTAAAAGATAAGAGTATTATGTTGATAGAAAATTTTGCTATAAAAGATAATAAGTACTTCATAATTGGGAAAAATTTATTAATATAACAAGTTTTATTTCTGAAGCATTTCAATCTTCAAATTTTGATATATTTTCAGTACATGAACTTGGAGAATTATCTATGTCACTAGTGGAAGATATTTCCAACAAAATGATAATTTTCCCATATAATAATACTTATGCTGTGTTTCCTCTCCTTCATACATTATGTTAATAATATAAATGTGTAAATGTATATATCTTATGTAAATACGATATTGAGAAGAAATCTATATTAAATATTATATAAGTAGTTATAGTATATTAAATATTATTAAGTGTGTTGCATGTTAAGCTTTGTTAACCAAATGAGAATGAAAAGAGTTTTGTAATTATTTCGACTTCAGACTAACAATAAGAATATAAGATATATAGTTGCCCAATGGAGTGGATAGTAGTACATTTTATAGAAGAAAATTTAGTCGAAGCTGTACCGGTCGCATGGGTGCATGATGATATGTGTTATTGGCCACCGTACACTGGTACACTGGCAAAAATTAATTCATTCTGTCGCAGTATGTGAAAAACCAGTATTCGGTGTATGGCCATTATTTAAAATTCGAAAAGTGGGAAGTGGACGTACCTATAGTAAATGATATTTAAAGAATTAATTTGTTATAAAACATTTAGTTGTCATATTTATTTTTGTTTTATAAGTAATTATTACGCATACTATATATTGCATTCTTTCGTTATAGATGATTTAGTAAAAGCAAGAGCAAAGACGTGTACAGCAGAAGACACATCAGATTTGACATCAAATCCTGAAAGAAAAAGAATTCGGAAAAGAAAAAATATCTTTATGATACAAACGAATCACAAAGTTCATCAACTAATAAAAGTTCATCGGATGATGAAATTTCAAATTCAGCATTTTCCTCCTACTCTACCTGATTCTGATAACACAAGTAAGTTTTCAAAATCCATGTAAAAATATTTTACACACACATCTCATTAGACATCCTGTGTGTATGCAATGTACACACGCATACACACAGAGTGTTCGATAAAGGAATAGCACACTACTCGTGCAGTAAAAAACATGGATTAAATTGACTAGAAAAATATTTTGCAATTTTTGCAATAATTAACAAGAAATTAATTTATGTAAAGATCTGCGAATGAATGTATACATTTTAATTATTACAAACATTACAAAATGTTACAGAACTTTTTCTGCTCATGAAAGATGTAATGCGTGTTATGAGACACTCATAAATATTTTTAAAAATAAAATAAAATAATTTTGTTTTTTAGAAAAGGACGTCAATAAACGCATGAATCCAGGACCTTCATGTAAAATAATAAATAAAGTACAAGAAAAGGATTTTGATACTAATCTCGAGGAACAAATAAATAAGACACAAAAAAATCTCTCATCAGTACAAGTGAAGCACAAAATGTATCATTTACTGAAATTTCATTGAACAATGAAGATGGATGTTCGATACACTTTCCTGTTATATCTGATTGTACAGGTATACTTTTTCAATTCTGAATTAAAAAAAAACATTTATAAAAATAATATATATATATATATATATAATCTTTAAAAATAAGTACATATAATTTAAAAAATAAATATATCTTTAAAATAAAAATTTTTAAATATTATTTTACAATAATAGATGCGAATATGTGCATAACTGCGAAACCACTTGGAACAAATGCAAAAAAGATTATTCGCGATAGCAATAAAAAAAATGCAGTAAAACCTGTAAACATTACAAGTAACATGCAAAAAAATATAACTCAGTATTCTAAGGATGATACAATTAAGGAAAATATTCGTTATATTGATGAACCTGGAATGGTAAAGTATTTTTAGTAACTTTTGTTGTACTTACATACATACACACACGCGCGCGCGCACACACCACACCACATACACACACACACACACACACACCCATACCACACACACCCAAAGTACCGAAATGCTATTATTAATTGAACATTTTCTATAATATGTACTTTATAAATTTCTTTTAGATATTGCATTCAAACGACAAGTCTTACGTCAATTAAATATTATTAATTTAAAACAATCGCAAATATGTGAAGATATCCAAATTTTAAGAAAGATTGGATCACAAGAGGATAGAATATTAATAAGAGATGATGATGAAATAGTATTTTAAAAAAATTTGATTTTCCTCTGAAAAACATTAGCGAATTAAATGCTATAGAAGAGTATTTGACGGACGAAAACAATACTAATATGCTTGTAAATAGAATTTATATAAAAAAAATAAAATTTTTATAAATATTTTATAAATATATTATTTTACATTAATAGGTGATTGAATTATCAAAATTTGGTGGAGCTACGTATAAACATACTATTAAAAGAATAATGATTCAATTATTTTCTAATAAAGTGGCAGAACAATATAGTTGGATAGGATTTAAAGGAAAAATAAATTTTCTTTACTACGTATTTCTGCTGCTATAATAAGTGAGTATTAATTTAATTTGTACATATTATTTTATAATATACACATGCATATATACATATATGTAAAACTATATCATAAAATTTATTTTACAGAAGCAGTGCAAAAAACAATACAATAACATTAAACGAAATTGAAACAATTATGAAGGCATGGCTTGTAAAAGCAAAATTTAGAAATGCTAAACAGGCAAGAAAACAATAAGCGCTATATATTAAGAGTGCAATATGGAATTTTGTTATAACAGTATTATAACACTGTTATTATAATATTATTATTATAACATTAGTATTTATTATAGCATTATTATAATAGAGTATTATGAAACATTTATCTAAGTGCAATACTTATAGGTATTTTATTATACAATTTTTTTTATTGCACAAATTTTTTTTATTGTATAAATTTTTTTTAATAACATGTTTAACACGTATGTATACATGAAATAAATACTAACATGTATATGAAATAAATACTAATATATAGATATAATGAAAAGTTAAAATTTATATTACGCATACAAGTTTTTATTATTACACATCATCGATTAATCAGATTAGATGCAAATACATATGTTGACAGAAAGGAAATAAAAATGAGAACACAAAATATGTTTTATAATATATAATAAAAATAATATAATTGTAATAGAGAGTTACATATAATTATATATATATTATATGTATTTGATAAATTATTTTCTTTCAAATATATATATATTGTATATATAAATTATATCACAATTATATTTTTATTATATATGATCAAACCTATTCTGTTGCTCTCATTTTTATTTCCTTTCTATCAACATATATATGCGTATTTGCATAAAAATTTAGAATATTAGTTCTGAAATATTTCATAAATATTCATTTAGATTGTCCTAAATATCTTCTTTGAATATTCTTTGAATATGATAAAGAATATTCTTTTAACTTTATCTAGAATATTTAAATTGGTCTCATTTCAACGTTTTGTGTACATTATAAAACATCTTCTAGTACATTGAAAGAATATTTTAATATTCTCGACAAATATTTATAGAATGTTTATAGAAAGTGTTTTGTTATCTGGGTATAATATATATATATATATCCTAAAAAAATCATAAAAATGAAAAGGTCAGGCCATGTTCAAAAGAAGGCACTCAAAAATTTAAACGATCTAATAATAAATTATCACGAAAAGTAACTGATATGTTATTCAAGGTGCCAGTTCAAAGTGAACATACGTAAAGTGTATATTATCTAAATTTAGTAATAATATATTACCAAAAAGTAACTGTGATATTTTATTCAAGGTGCAAGTTCACATTGAATATACATACATATAGTAAAACTGATTACAATTTGATTCTAGAAAATAAGTGCGATATGTTATTCTTAGTGCACAAAATATAATAGTCGTTTATAGAGATTTGATTTGAAATTCATACTAGCCCGTACAATGAAAAATAATTGCTCGTAATTCCAGAGTACCAATTTGTTAATGACTCAGAAAAATAACATGGCGGCCTGCTCTCAAAAAATTTTCGATGGGTAGAATAAATAATTGAAATAAGAGTTGTGAAAATTGTATAAATTAAAAACCTCCATCTTTCTTTAGTAAATTTCGAATTTTCGTATCAACTTCCGATTTGTGTTATACCGTATTTTCAGGGAGTAAGTTATTGATCAGAAAACTTTGCCTTGTTGCTCGAAACGGTGTATATTAAGTAAAATTTATAAATGTACAGTTTCAGGTCAACTACAATAAAGCTATACGCTTAAAAAGTTTACTGATTATTTGTCGTAATATACAATAAAAATTACATATTAATTATTCAAGATACAAGTGAGATATAAATATCATTAAATATACAAAAAAAATTTATCAATTTGACTCTGAAAAGTAAGTGACATGTTCTCAAAGTGCAAGGTTTCATTTGACTTACAATTTTCTTCAGAAACACAGAAGAAAAGGTATTTGTATATAGTTTTGTATATTCACTTCGTTGTGTGTAGAGCTTTTAAAATACGTTGAATCCTTATTCTAATCTAATCTTCTTCTAATGTAATACTTTTCGTATTCACAATGTTGTAGTAATTATTCTGTAAGAGCTTCGACATTATTTCTAAATGGACATCGAGAAACATCATAGTTTTTTGAGAGCAGGCCGCCATGTTATTTTTCTGAGTCATTAACAAATTGGTACTCTGGAATTACGAGCAATTATTTTTCATTGTACGGGCTAGTATGAATTTCAAATCAAATCTCTATAAACGACTATTATATTTTGTGCACTAAGAATAACATATCGCACTTATTTTCTAGAATCAAATTGTAATCAGTTTTACTTATATGTATGTATTTCAATGTGAACTTGCACCTTGAATAAAATATCACAGTTACTTTTATGGTAATATATTATTACTAAATTTAGATAATATACACTTTACGTATGTTCACTTTGAACTGGCACCTTGAATAACATATCAGTTACTTTTCGTGATAATTTATTATTAGATCGTTTAAATTTTTGAGTGCCTTCTTTTGAACATGGCCTGACCTTTTCATTTTATGATTTTTTTAGGATATCACTTACTTTTTAAAGTACAGATATATAGAGCAGCTTTCTATAATAGTAATTCATGTATAAATTAATAGTATTCAAGTATCACAATATATGTATTTTCGATTCTTATCACATAACTTTGTATAAGTAACAATTTATGCAATACAGTTCAAAATAATTGAAATATATGGTATATATGTACATATATAAAATATATAATTATATTATAGTATACATATATATTTTATTTAATCATATATGTAAATGTTTGTATAATTGTAATAACTTTTAACGATACATTGCACATTTATTTCAATTGCAACAGAATGAATTTATATTCTTGTATGAATATTGAAAATAAAGAATGGGCCCCTCCATCGCCCATTCTCGTGAGAACGCAACCATATATTTTTCTTCGTCTCTCCGATTTTAACACGACATACATATTATGTCTGATAATTTTTTTCTTGATGATACTTTTTGAAATGTCATGAAGCCTAGGTCAAATTAGAAACTTATTGCACTCGTTTTAACGCAGCGCTTACAGCAGCTTTTATAAAGCGCCAGAGCAGCCGATATTTTATTTTGGCGCTTACGGCAACTTTTATACAGCGCTAGAACAGTTGATGTTTTAATGTAGCGTTTACGGCAGCCTTTATACAGCGCCAGAGCAGCCGATGTTTTATTTCGGCGCTTACGGCAGCCTTTATACAGCGCCAGAGCAGCCGATGTTTCATTTCGGCGCTTACGGCAGCCTTTATACAGCGCCATTATTTAATCTGTTCTAAGAACAATATGTATGCCCCTTGTGCTCCTTTGGGCCATTTTTTCTTGAACACTTCCATATCATTAGAATAATACCATTCCGATTTTGTGTCAGCTCTCAACATACACGTGTAGTGACCACGATTCATTTCTTCACCTTCGTGAAATATAGCGCTTATTACCTTGTACTTTTTTTCATTAATCGTGATATTACTCGTCGGCACGGCGTTAATCCGATTGTTGATAATTTTTTTAGAAGCACCGTTTACAAAAGTATATAAATTGAGCTGTATTACTACGACGGATAAAGTTGATTCGATTACGGTTTTCCTTTTCAACACGGTACCCTTACATTCGTTACAATTGCCGTTTATCGTTTCCCATTTAGAAAATTCTACATTAATCAAACTTTGTAGAGTGACACCTTTTTTCCTTTTTAATGTCGAATGTATAGGTAATATTAGCAAACTACTGCTTTCCAGCTTAGTTACATTGTAATTACATTTGACATTCGAGCAACATGTTACGTGCTTTAATTCGAGTTCTAATACATCATTGATGTCGGAATACGTCGACATTAGAGCCGTAAAAAATTCCGAAACATCTTGTTGTGTTCGTTCTTCGAAGCGTTTTCCGACAGATCTTCTAACCGCTTGAATGTTGCAATATTTACGTTCACCATACGCGCAGATAGCATCAGTCAATGCATTCGATGCTTTATTTTTCAGTATTTGTTGCCTAATACGTACGCAATGAAACGCACATTGTAATATTACATTAGCGTAACACGAAACAGCATCGTTATTGCAAAGGCCATATATTTTCCACGTAACTATACTTTCTGGTTCCTCACAATCATAATTCTGCACATCATCAATGATATTAGGGATAGCCCATCGACGATCGTACATTTTCACAACCTTTTTCTCGGACCGATTGATTTGTGGCAGTTCAGATTTGAATATAGATCTCAGTCGATTATATTCCACAATGGCTCTCGAGTTTGCTTTAACTGATGCTGGATTGAAATTTATCAAATGTAGGCCTTCCAATTTACTTACTCGTGACAAACCTACATAGGCTTGACCATCACTGAATACAGTCGTTCCTAAATCCATCATTGCATTGTTACATGTAATTCCTTGACTTTTGTGTATAGTTATTCCATAACTGAGAGACAATGGAAATTGTTTCCGATGTACCACTAATTTGTGGAATACTTCAAATTTAATATCTACTTTCGTTATTGCGATTTCTTTGTTACCCGAAATAACTATTTTGATGGAATCAATACGATTGCCGTCA